TTCAAAACCTATTATTTCATCCCGTGATACATTATAAAATAAGCTTTTAAACTCATATATAATGAGCTTTTAAACTCATTTCATCTGCGCATAATATACAATGACGCTCTATTATCGGTAATGAATTTAATTTAATAGTAAAAGCGTCAAAAACTTTATTATTTATACCGGGCACAATATTCCACGTGTTTGTAAATAATTGTAGAGAACGCACGGAAGGCAAGGCAATTGATTCTTTTAGTTCTCTATAATTTCGTGGACTTGAAAAATATACAGATAGTGCAAATTTTTTAAATTCGGGATCATATCTTTTACCACGTTTGCTTTTGCTTTGTTTATCAATTTGTGCAGATAATAATTTCGCAAAATTTATAGGTAATAACTTACAGCCTAATTTTCGTAGAGTTTCATGTTCGGCCTCTTTATTTATTGGTGCATTTCTTGTTTGCTTCTTTTTCTCCATTCGAAGTCTTCTAACTGTTTCCCGCAACGTTTTGTTTTGCGCTTTTAATTTCATGATCTTCATGCGCAATTTTCTTTTCCGAGGACTATTTTCTGTCGATTGGAGTGACGTTGTCACAGGATTACTGGATGTGCTCCTACAATATTCCCAAATATATCAAATATTAATAAAAATAAAAAGAAACAGAAAAAATCAACTAATAATTATAATTATAAAATTAAAGATGATAATTAAATACATGAAAATAGCAAATGCAATATTTATACATTAATTTTTAAAGTTATAATTGAATGTAAATTAAACAAATTATAAATGAAAAAAATAATTATCACAGTTATGTAATTTCAAATTAAATAATAAAAAATAGTAAATTAATATTACATAAACTATAAAGCTATTGTATATATAATGTTTCAGATAAATATATGTGCAGATGTAAAATATAATTCAATCTCTATCAGTACAAGAAATGATAGCAGATAATAATACATTATTATATTTTAAAAAATTAAAAAATTTTGCTATATCCTTCCTATTAGAAATAGTACATAAAATAGTCTTTTTATAATCTTTTATTATCTGCTCTCATTTATGCCTTGTACTTTGATAAAGATTGAATTCTTTGTATCTGTACATATGTCTGTAAAAAATATATAATAAAATAATATCACAATTATTATAGGAAAAGCTATCTAAGAGATTTTATAGAAATATATAATCTTACCCATTTCTTTTTCCTTGTTGAGTGTCTGCCTCAATTATTTGTTCTTCATCCTTATGTTTCTTCTGTTGCTCCATCTTGTTTTCTACTTCTACAGCAGCATGTATTTCTGTAGAAGCAATTTGTGTTTTACCTCTGTAAAAAAATATTTTAATTATTTTTTTTATTCTTTTCAGTATATTATTTTTATAATAAATGCAATTACTTACGCATTATCTTCTTCCATATTTGAAACAGCTGCATTGCTACAAAATAATTATTTTATTTTTTACATATTAAATGTTATATTCTTATTATGAAAAAGACTTTTGTCTGTTTTTATAGACAAAGTAATATGATTTTTAAAAGTGTAAACTCACTTTTTGTCAAAAGTTGGGCCAGAAAATCTTGTAGGTATAGCATCTGGGTGAAGACGTGCTCTGATTTTGTTGACATTATACCACTTTTCTTCAAAATGCAAGTGGCACAAACGACAGTTCTGGCTAGAATATCCTGGGCCTTTTGGTTCAAGATCCAACCTTCCACATGCTCGCACCAATTGCAACCATCTGTATATATTAGATATAGATATATAGATTTATCAATATAAGAAAATAGAATGCATATATATTATAATTAAATATTAAAGAATATTAAAATATTAAAGAATATTAAATATTAAAAATATAGGAAAGAATAGTTGATAGTACAATTTATGTGAAAGATAATAATTAAAGTGATCATACCTGTCATGCTCCTTTGGAAATTAAAAAAATGCCTTTTCTCCAAATTCTCATTTTTTTGATTGCAGTCAGATACTGCACAATATAGATTTTTTTTGGCACTCATCTTTATTTTTATTTTCTTTTCAATGTTCTTCTGGTTGTTACCGCAATACACGTACACCTGAAACAGAGCTAAGATCAAAGTGCTTTCCCTGCAAGAGAATTGAAGACCTGTATAATATTTATACAGATCAACTATCCTCCCTCAAGATATCGAATTCGATCTTTCACTTAAATTTATCACATCCTTATGTTTCTTCTGTTGCTCCATCTTGTTTTCTACTTCTACAGCAGCATGTATTTCTGTAGAAGCAATTTGTGTTTTACCTCTGTAAAAAAATATTTTAATTATTTTTTTTATTCTTTTCAGTATATTATTTTTATAATAAATGCAATTACTTACGCATTATCTTCTTCCATATTTGAAACAGCTGCATTGCTACAAAATAATTATTTTATTTTTTACATATTAAATGTTATATTCTTATTATGAAAAAGACTTTTGTCTGTTTTTATAGACAAAGTAATATGATTTTTAAAAGTGTAAACTCACTTTTTGTCAAAAGTTGGGCCAGAAAATCTTGTAGGTATAGCATCTGGGTGAAGACGTGCTCTGATTTTGTTGACATTATACCACTTCTCTTCAAAATGCAAGTGGCACAAACGACAGTTCTGGCTAGAATATTCTGGGCCTTTTGGTTCAAGATCCAACCTTCCACATGCTCGCACCCATTGCAACCATCTGTATATATTATAGATTTATCAATATAAGAAAATAGAATGCATATATATTATAATTAAATATTAAAGAATATTAAAATATTAAAGAATATTAAATATTAAAAATATAGGAAAGAATAGTTGATAGTACAATTTATGTGAAAGATAATAATTAAAGTGATCATACCTGTCATGCTCCTTTGGAAATTAAAAAAATGCCTTTTCTCCAAATTCTCATTTTGTTGATTGCAGTCAGATACTGCACAATATAGATTTTCTTTGGCACTCATCTTTATTTTTATTTTCTTTTCAATGTTCTTCTGGTTGTTACCGCAATACACGTACACCTGAAACAGAGCTAAGATCAAAGTGCTTTCCCTGCAAGAGAATTGAAGACCTGTAAAATATTTATACAGATCAACTATCCTCCCTCAAGATATCGAATTCGATCTTTCACTTAAATTTATCACTGTCACTGTCACTTGGCCAATCTGTCACTATCACTTTGTCAATTTGTTAGTTATATCACTTTGTCACTTTGCAATCGCTTTTAATTTATCAAAAACTGATAAATTGCACGGTACGTAATAAATGACATGTAATGTCATCTGTTCCGGTAAATATAAGTAGGCAATAGGCATTTAATTGGGTATTTAAATGGTGTGAGAGAGAACGAAAAATCAGAGAGTAAGCGAGAGAGAAGTTCAGATGGCGTTACCGACCAACTTACTTATTTCGCGCATGCGCACTCCGTTTTGGCCAACACAAAATCAGGAGAGTTGCGCTACTGTATATACTGTGTCGCGATGCTACCGCATACTGCTTGATACGTATCATATACGGATGCACGCACATACACATTGTCTCTCAAGGCGTATTTGTACACTCAAGCGAATAATCGTACATGAGCGCTGCAAACGCGCCTTGAGGGACAAACTCGCTTTGCGTGTGTGCGTGCGAGCATACGTACGTGAGAGTCTAAAACTGAACCTTATTATGATAATGATGGAAAACAAAAAATGTCACATTTCTGGTATACGATTATCATTCCTCAGGATTGACTGCACCAATCTTATTCAAACTGGTCGCAATCGAAAGCTTGCATCCACATTGTATCAGAAAAGTGCCGTTAGATTTTTGATTAAC